ACTCAATCAGAATATTGCAATGTGAGAAGGAAGGCTGACAGAACTGCTGGACGCCTGGGCAAAATTGTGGGGGAGAACCTGGCTCCATGTTCCTGGAAGGGGCAGGGCCTCAGGTGGAGGGACTAGGACTAGGGCTAACTTCTCCCTGACAGCCCTTCAGCATCTCGTGGAGCACACCATTTGAGGCTCCAGCTGTGATTTAAAAGGGCTTGGAGCAGTTATCTCCCTCCCAACCCTGTCAGGAAGCCTGCATGTGAGCATTTGGAATGAGACCTTTTTGTGTTAATTAAACTGAAAATCTAATGACCCTCTAGAAAAAAAAGAAAGATCAAGAGCAGGAATCAATTGTTAATATATGAAAAAATAGCCTTACATTGTTGTTTATTTTATATTTTTCAAATAAATATGTTTTAAAAACTGCAGAACTGCAATTCTTCACAAGACACTGTATTGCAGAAAACCTTTTTCCTTCCAGAAAAACAAAAAACCAAAATAATCTCCTGAATGGTATTGGGTACACCGTGACACAAATAATGTGTGAATTTGAAATAACTTTCACTGTAAAATGACTGAATTTTACAAATCATCATATTAAATATAAAAGGATGTTAGTCACTCTGGGTCATTGAAATTTTAATTGCTAGTACACTCATGGCACTGATACATAGGGATAATTTTTAAATAGAACCCAAATGTTTTGATGATACCACTACTGAGTTATGAACGTTGATTATTTTATTTCAAACATATCCAACGCTATGCAACCAGCTGAAAAGTGCACAATACCACAGAGAACAATTCAGGAAAGAAAGGGATTTGGTCAAGAAGGAAAGAGATTTCCACCGAGGACCAGAACTAGGAACGTCAAAGTGCAAATCAGGATTCTGATAAACCTCCCTTGAGGGTCTTGGGTAAGTCATTTTTTCTTGCTCCGCTTTATCGTCTTCATCCCTAAAATGAAAATCTGCCTCAGAGGGATGTAAAGTAGAGTGAGGTTGAAAAGTGTTGCTGAGTGAATGGCACAGGACAGGAAAACAGAGGGAGTTTGCCTGGGAGTTCACTGGGGTGTGGGGATCGGGGGGGAAAGGGGTTGTTCCCACATAGATTTTTTTGGGGCTTTGAGGCTTCTATGAGCAGTACATACAACATCTGAAAAGGCTCTTAGAAGGAAGATAATATGGATAGTGATCAATCAACTGTTGTGACCTGCAAAGGTTGTGCTATGTTTGTCTTTCTCCCAGAGAATAGAAGTAACTTTGTCTGTACAAAGTGCAACCTGATCTCCATGTTGAAAAAGCAGGTTAAAGGTCTAGACACCTGAGTATTTACCCTGCATTGCATTAGATAAAATGAAGACTCTCTGGATAGAAGTCAGAAAGGCATGGGCTGCACTGTCCTAGGGGTGGGAGTCCCTGACCATTGATATCCTAAGAGAAGGAGATGAGTGGTCAGGGACTCGCTCCTAAGGGGGCTGGAGTCATCCATCTTCTGTCCCAACCGGGGAACTGGAGAAGTGTGGTGCTTGCCTGGATCTAGAATTCAGGATGTGACTGGCTATCTGCTGTGACTGATCAAGCTATCAGAATGCTACTCCTTCCTACTTCTCCAAGTGGGGTCAAATGATACTGCCAAAAATGATCATGAGCAAGTCAAGGCAGGCTACTTAGCTCTGGGAAGAAGGATAATAGTGTTTGAGGCACAGGTTGTGTTCTTGTCCATCCTCCCTGTTGAAGGAATAGGCCATGGTAGGGACCACTGAATTGTGGAGGTAAATGCATGGTTGCACAGGTCATGTCGGAGAGAGGTATTTAGATTCTTTGACTATGGGAAGAAGGATTCTTTGTTCCAAGAAGAAGAATTTCTAGGAAGAGATGGGATCCTCCTAATGAAGAAATGGAAGAACATCTTCACAGGCAGGCTTGCTAGCCTGGTGAGGAGGCCTTTTAACTAGATTCGCTGGAAGGCCCATTAACAGCACATGGGCAAAGAGGGCAGTTGCGCTGTGGACTGGTGATTCAAATGGACTTGGGGCTCCCAGCTGCCACTGCTACCAATGTGACAGCAGTGGCAGCTGGATCCCTGAGGCCTTTAAAACAGTACCAGAGGGTCATGCTGCATACTCCCTGCGGCTCTGAGGGCTAGAGGAGTGGGACATGCCACACTCTGGATGGTGTGGAGGGCTGGCTGCTCCCAGCCCCACCTTTTTGTGGAATGTGGAGCTGGCTCCTCACCCCAACCTTGCCCAGGGGTCTGTGGAGGCTGTTGGCTCCTCTCTTTACTGGGCGATGGTGATCTAAGCCCTGAGGTAAGTGAGGAAATGGGTTACAAGGAGAAAATACAAGGAGGAAAGTGCAAGAGGGGAATTCTCCTGCTTCATACTGAGAAAGTCGGGCAATTGACTTATTATTTTAGATTCCTGTAGACAAACACACAAAGCAGGGAAACAAACAGGAAGAATTTGAAGTATTGGCATAGTCAAAGAACTATGATGGGTATAAACCGTTCAGGAAAGAGAGGCAAGGAAGAAAAGGTGGATGAGTTGCACTGTACGTAAGATAGCAGTATTGTTGTTCAGAGCTCCAGTATGAAGCTGGAGAAAAGCCTGTTGAGAATCTTTGGGTTAAGATTGGAAGTTAAGACTGTAGGCAAGAGCAAGAAGAGTGATGTCATGGCAGGCATCTGCTGCAGACCACCAGACCATAAGGATGAGGTAGACAAGGCTTTCTTTAGGCAACTAACAGAAGTTTCCAGATCATAGGTCCTGGTTCTCATAGGGAACATCAATCACCCTGACATCTGCTAGGGAAGCAATACAGCAGCACACAGGCAATCCAGGAAGTTTTTGAAGGGTGTTGGGGAAAACTTTCCTGTGCAAGTCCTGGAGGAATCAGCTAGGAGTCGTGCTCCTCTTAATTTGTCACTAACAAACAGGGAAGAAATGGTAGGAGAAGTAGAAGTAGATGGGAACCTGGGCAGTAGTGACCATGAGATGATCGAGTTCAGGATGCTGACAAAAGGAAGAAAGGAGAGCAACAGAATGTGGACTCTCAGATTCAGAAAAGCAGACTTTGCCTCCCTCAGAGAACTGATGGGCAGGATCCTCTGGGAGACTAATAAGAGGGGGAAAGGAGTTGAGGGGAGCAGGCTGTAATTTAAAGAAGCCATACTGAGGGCACAGAAATAAACAACAATGTGCAGAACAGCAAATATGGCAGGCAATGAGCTTGGCTTAGCAGAAAAATCTTTGCCGAGCTTAAATACAGAAAGGAAGCTTACAAGAAGTGGAAACTTGAACACATGACTAGCTAGGGAGAAGTATAAAATAATGCTTGAGTGTGCCAGGGTATAATCAGGAAGGCCAAAGTGCAATTGGAGTCACAGCTAGCAAGGGATGTGATGGGTAACAGAAAGGATTTCCACAGATACGTTAGCAACAAGGCGGCCAGAGAAACTGTGGGATCCGTAATGAACAGGGAATGCAACTAGTGACAGTTAATGTGGAAAAAGCTGAAGTACACAATATTTTTTTCATTAGTCTTCACAGACAAGGTCCTAGACTGCTGCAGTAGGTAGCACAGTATGGGAAGGAGGTGAGCAGCCCTCAGAGATGAAAGAATAGGTTAAGGAGGGCTATTAAGAAAAACTGGGCATGCACAAGTTCATAGAGCTAGACATAATGCATCCAAGGGTGTTGAGAGTGTTGGCTGATGTGATGGTAGAACCATTGGTCATTATCTTTGAAAACTCATGGTGATCAGGAGAGGTCCCAGTTGATGGAAAAAAAGTAAATGTAGCATCCATTTTTTAAAACGGGAAGAAGGAAAATATGAGGAACTAGAACTGGTCAGCTGCAACTATTTCACTAAGAGGGTGGGATGATGCACTGGAACAGGTTACCAAGGGAGGTGCTGGAAATTCCATCTCTGGAGGTTTTTTAAGTCCGAAATCTTTGTTCAACCTTGTAAAAAATGAAATCTTTGTCAAAAAAGAAAACGTGACGAAGCCCAGGCTGGGATGATTTAGTTGAGATTGCTCCTGCTTTGAGCAGGGGGTTGGACTAGGTGACCTTGTGAGGTTTCTTCCAAGCCTAATCTTCTCTTATTCTAATTATTATCATTCATTTGTTTGTAAATACTTGAATACTTGGAACCTTCTTTTTTTAACATTTAAACTATGCTCTAAGAAACTGAAACACAAAACAAGAATTTCTAAAGTTTCATATATTTTCCCCTTTATGAACAGCAAGTATAAGATGCTAGTCACTAAAGTGCACATATGGGAATTTAGTGAGGTCTAACGATGGATAAGTCTCCCACATTTTTAATTGATGATAATGCAGAATGCTAATATTACTGTCAACATCTCTTTAGTTAAACACAAACAGTGAAGTACTTCACATCCCAAACACATCCTATTTTAAAACCATCATCATGTAGCTAGAAAATTTAAGCCCAGCAAATAATTGCAGGTGTAGTCAGGTGGTTAGTTAATGACTGAAATGTGCAGGCACATATGAAGAATTGCACCTACAATTATTTGTCTCGGAAGTTGTGAGCATATTTGTAAGCCTAGGCCAAATCTCTTTTGCTCGAAAGCTAATCAAAGGCGTTGTCTTTAGTCTTTGTTTTAGGCAATGCTGCAAGAGCCATCCAGTTAGCAGAAGGGACACAAATTAAGTAACAATCTTATTACCTCAAACCATGTGGGCACCCTCAACACTTAACTTTAACTAAAATGAAGTCAATATAGGGGAAAAAAATCAGTGTTTGCCAAATGGAGATGGAAATTATTAGGAAAAGAAGCTTCTTGTTCAAATAGATATTACAACCGAGAATAAAAAAGAAAAATGAAAACATACTTGCCAATGCACCTTGACATAGTTTATAAAAGAATTATTAAATGAATTTGCTTTTGAATGAGTTCCATTGCAGGAAGAAAAAACTGGAAAGAGAGTCCTGCAAATAATTTTAAAAAGGAATTGAAAAGCACATGTTACTTACCCATTCTGTATAGCAGCTGTTGGATCATAGGTCAAAGCCATGCCAGCCTGCACATAGTTAGGGGGGAAAAACAGATTTTTACTCTAGCTGTAGTCAAAATGACATTAAACACTCTCTTACAATTCCATTTAATGTGCATTCAGTTTTGATGTACATTGACTTGGGTCCACAAAAGAAGCTAAAATATCTCGAAGTGGTTTGGAAATTCCTGTTACCTTCCTTGCTAGAGATATCCCTAATCCATTGATTGGGCTACTATTTTTGCTATTCTCTCCCTAACTATTCTAGGCCAAATCATGCTCTTAATTACACCAGTATAAATCAATAGCCAAACTTTGATCAATGGAGTTACTCCAAACAGACTCAGACTGGGTATGAAAGAATTAAGTTTAGAAAAAAACTACATTTTCTTTCAAAGACTACACCTTCTAAAATCAGATCACTGTATGATTTCTCTGTACAGTCAGCAGCAGTTGTAGTTTATTGCCTGAGACAAATAATATTGACTCACAGTCAAACAGAAAAGCAAAGTCACATAAAAATGTGCTGATCTCTTTATAAAGCAATTTTAAAATATTTTTAGGTAACTGGTTATATAAAGAATGTGTTAATGGCTGCCTTTCCACTGTCGATCACTGGGACAAATCCAGACGCTCATTACTACAGTATCAGATGGTGATCTGTGTGGAACTAACTGGCAATGTCAAAGCAGCTGCTAGTTAAGAACTGTCCACATTACCAATAGCAAACATGTTGGCAGGCTCAGCAGAAAACCAGGGTTGGGATAGAGATGGACAATGAACTATCCCCTCCCCCCACTCCTCCAGGTGATATTTTTTGTCAGGGTTGAGGCAGACTCGCAAGATAGTTTAGAAAACACAATCTCCTTACGGTCCCGCGATGCCAATTTAACTCTCCAGGGCTAAAAAACCTCCATACCTTTTATGACCGTTATGTTCACTTAGATTTTTCTTTAAACAGAGGACATTCGTTTTAAAAAAGTTTGTGTTTTAAAGTCCTGCCCAGAGACGTGAGACTGCTCTATCATAGGAGAGGAAGATGATAAAGGAGAGGGGGGAGATGTTCCTCACATTCAGCTGCCCAGCAGATCTTTTTTCAAAGAATTCCAGATTCTACATTGTTAATAGGGCAAATGGCATAGCCAGGTCTTACTATTACAAGTAGAAATCCCTGTTACTATCTGAGCTCCTGCCCCATCCCACATGGCTCTCCACAGGGATAGGGAAGGGGGATGGTACACATCAGTCTACAATGTTACCGGCTGTGTTTTCAGAAGCAGAAAAGCATTTATTTTAAAACAACAGCTTTGAATTCTGAGCATCACACAATTGTGCTAAGATGGCATCCAGAGTTATAATCGGACTGTGATGTTGGGGCAAGGTTTTGTTTTGTTCTGTTTGTTGAAAATGTTGCTGTTTTATTGAGATATTTACAAAGATATGTGGGAGCTGTCCTAGAAGACCAATTCCATGAATATATGGCTAGAATTTTTAAATACATGTGATGTTTATTTTTCTCACTTGAGTCATAGCAAAAAATGGTTAAAGAATACCTTCAAACTTAATTTAAAAATGAACCATAGTTTGGTTGAGTCCTACCACTGAAAAATTCAGTCTAAACAATGGAAATAGCCTAGAACATAGGGTTGCCAGATGGTTTAACCAAAAATACCGAACATTCTCCCCCGCCGCCCCCCCCCCAAAAAAAACACTGGGGAAAAATTCTGTTGAGGGGGAAAAAAGAGGGCGAGACCAAAGTTGTTGAGGAAAAAAAAAAGGACCCCAAGAGTTATTAAGCAAATAAATAAATAAATACATAAATAAAACAGCATTAAAACAGCATGACCCCTTTAAGTGTGTGCTGAGTCAGAATAGGAATAGGAAGAGGAGAGGTTGAGCACTAAGATTCAGGGAAAGCCTTGCTTCCCCTTGCTCAGGTCTATTGGCTTTTTGCTGGTGGCCATCTTGTTTTCTTAGTCAAGCCAGAAGGGAGCTTCCCTGTGGAACCAGGTAAGCAGAGTGTCCAGGGGCGGGAGTCCGCGGGCCTGGTATAGGACCGGGGGCCGGGTCCTATTGCTGAGTGTGTTGTAGGATTGCCAGGTGTCTGGTATTTTCGCCTCCTGGCAGGGAAACTCCCCCCCAGAAAATACTAGACATTGTAGGTGTCCGGTATTTTCTGCATTTTTTTTAATGGACAGGAGGCGAAAATACTGGACTGTCCGAGTCAATACCGGACACCTAGAAACCCTACTAGAACATTGTGAACATACACACCCACAAACGTGTTCATCTGTCTGTCTTGAATATAAAAAAAAATACTTATTTGGAATCCCTAAATATGTAAATCTAAAGAAAATATATGGCAGTAAAGGCATAAGAGATGTTTTGCCACACTTTTAGTATAGTACGCTTAACTCACTCATTTCTTCTCCATTCCTCAAAGGTTACACCATACTATGCCTTTCTCTGTTCTGGTTATAGTTTGGGATAGTCATTACCCGGACATGAAAGTTTTCACAGGAACTTGTATACCAAATGTATTTTGCCTATGATACACTGTAAATACTTTTTTTTATAGGTTTTAGATTTGTTATTGGCACTTTTTTAAATATCCCTTTACTAATAAAAACAACTTAATTAGCATGTACAAGTCTTGGAGGGACAGAAAAACTAGTTCTAACAAAGTTTTACAATCTCTAAAAATAACTTAGGAGGTTTTCTATAAATCATTCTATTTAAAAACTTTTAATATTCCACACCATCCTTGGTCAAGGCTGGAAACAAATGCTACAAAGGAGGGATCTAAAATGATAAGGCACTGGTTGTTGGATTTGATGGTCATGAGATATGCACCTTAAAACTATCTCTGGATCAGAAATTAATTCTGTGCCTCCAATGCCCTGGATCAGTAGCAATTTGGAAATAAAATTCCAGTAAGGGAAAAGTGGAACGGCGAAAACACAAACATGAGTAAATAAAAGTTTTCTTCTATGTATGTATGGCACATTTTCTCCTACGTATATATGGCACAGTCTCAGAAGTTACTGATGTTAGAAAGCATCTCAGTTGGGATGGACTGGTACACAGAGTGCACCCGAGAGGCAAAAAAGCACATGTATTTTATAGCTACAGGCAGTGCACCCTGTGAGCTATGTGCATGTGTGGTAGATCAGAGGAGATATTCAAATGCCACTCAGCTGATTAGCAGAGTGCCCAAAGCTAGGATTTTTGTTTCTACTGCTGCTGCACATTTACACATGCCTTGGTGTACATTAAAAAATTTCCACACATGGATGCAAAGGATTAAAGGGAACATTGGTTACAGGTATTTTCCCCATGGATATTTATACACATTTTTATGAGCTAGATGTTCAGTTTATGCAAACAGGTATAACTATGGATTGATCTCTAGGTACAAACATCCACCCATCCCACCACACAGAGACACTCCCTTGCATATAAGTTAACACTACAATATTCCTAGCTTTTATGTGCATTATAGATAAAGAATATTGTAAACATTATCTGGTTGGAAAAGCAAAAATGTAAAAAGCCAGAATCTGATTCTCCAAGCTGAATAGTACAGGGCATATTTGTCTCAGAATGAGACCCAAAATTTGTAAATGATGATACATTTTACTATTACATTTGCCGCTACGTGAAAGCTTTGTATGAGAGAGACAAGACAAATACATGTTGCAGTGACATATTTTGCATAGCAATACACCTAGCACACTATTTCTAACGTTCCACGCCTCCTAACACTTACAACGAGCTGCCATTTCAAAGAGCTGCAAAATGGGGAATTGTTTACTTCTTTCCCTGCAAATTGTGTAATTCTTCCCTATAAAATTGCACTGGCCTGAGGCCCAAGAGAAGCCAATATTTATCCTGCACCAGTGACAGGTTTACTGTCTAGTTTCATGACTCATCAGGGCTAGAAACTGATGAGTAACTTCAGCCTCTGTGAAAACTATCCATCGTTTTTTCTCCATAATACAATCAGCAGAATTTTGAGAACACCAAATGAATTATATAAGCGATAGCATGAGACTTCTATCTAATGCTGATGCACATTACTGGAAGGATGTTCTCGAGAACAAAGAGCTAAAGGCCAAATAATTCATGCCTCAATATTTTCCTGTTCCTCACCTGTGTGATGTAGTGAAAACTGCCTTCCAAGTTTTTTTCATCCATTACTGTTACAGGGGAAAGTGTCTCTTTCAGTCTATTAGCAGTGGCACTGATGATGAAATACTAGCTGAAACCCAGACAGTTATTTGTCAGCTGGGCTTTTTTTGGTTATTGAAGATTTGAATCTCAGATTTTCCAAACCAGAGAGGCCTGATGGTGGGACCAGGCTTTCCTGGTTTTTGATCTTCTTGGTGACTGTATTTTGGGGCATCCCAGAATTTCAATACCTAACCAGGTCAAAAATTAAATTAAAATCAAAGGGTAGCATTGGCTATTATGATTGTTAATAATAACAAACAAACAACTTCTTGGATGATTAGAGAATTAGCAGGCTTAGGATATCAAACTCCATAGAAGTGAAAGCAGATTCACTCATGGGAAAGAGATTTTTTAAGACTGTTCAAATGTCTGTCTGTCTGTTTTCCTTAACAGCTTTTGAATTCAAACGCCTCAGGAGCAGTTGGAAGAAAGGCTATTTTGTTAAAGATTCAACAACCCCTCCTTTTCACTTCAGGCCTAAGAGAGTTCCCAACCCACATTGCTAGTTCTTCCAGTGAAGATCTCCATTGAAACAGAGGACACAAGTCTTAACATTTACAATGTAAAAATCAGGGGAAAATAATAAAAACAAGCTAATAGTTCACTACATGTAGTAATTTTGCAGATGACTAATTGTGTAGACGACTAAAACATCCTGTTGTGATTGTTATTCTGTTCTCCTCTTGCCCATTTATTGTCTGTCTCACCCACTTTGTCACATCTTGTCTCTTTTGGATTTCAAGTTCTTTGGGCTTTTCTTTTATATTTACACAGTAGTATGCTGGAACACTGAG